CCTAAAGCCCCTTCCAGGCCAGGCCTTTAAAATTCGAAGAGTCTACAGTTTCCTAGCTGTGGAATCCCAGATTCTATCTGCAGAGCCAGCACCCCTGGAAAGCAAAGAGGCCCAACATCTACCGAGAACTCACAGAGGCGGCAGGGCACTGGGAAGGCGACAAGGAGGGAAAGTGACACCCCCACCCCACCTTTTGGCAACAGAAACACCCTCAGAGACCAGGCTGGAATTCCCCAGACACCCCAGGCCAGCCTCTGGTCTTCGTCCCATTAGGAAATGCCCACTCTTTCCTCCCTCTTCCCACAGTTAGGCCACGGCCCTCCAGGCCTTCCGACTTCCCCTCCCCACCATGACAAAGCACTTTTGCAGGCCGGCCTCAAGCCCTGCAGCCCTGCAGACTGCTGAGTCATGCAGGGGCAGCAGCTCTCCACAGGAGCCCCCACCACGGCCCCCCTGCGCCGGCAGGCAGGCAGCGTGGGCTGTTCTCCTCCAGAAACAAGGGGCTGGCTCTTCCCTCCACCGCAGTCCCTCCCGCTGGGAGCGGTTGTCCTGGGAGACCAGCCAAACTCCACGCCTCTCAAAATCACGAGGAGCTGGGGCGGCAGTGGGGGTGGGGACGGGATACCGCTCAGCCAAGGTCCAAAGGCCAGACCGCAGCTTCAGAACAGTCCGGAGGCTTGGATGTAGCAATTTCGACATGTAGGTTCCCAAAAGGTGGGGCCTGGTTGTACGTGCGTGCGTGCGTGCACACACACACACACACACACACACACACCAGCCAGCCTTTCCCAGCGCTTCTGCAGCCGTAGTTTTGCCATTCACTGCAGCTACCTAGGTGTCTAACCAAGTGTGGAGCCAACCCTAATTCATGAGACCTCCCCTACAACACACCAGCTTCCCTCCTGTGGGTCCGACTCTATGCTGCCTCTGTCTACCTGGAGGCCCTGGAATTCAGCACTTCCAGGCCAAAACCAAACCGGCCTCCCCAGCAGCCTTTTCCCAGACCTGCAAGTCCTGGACTTCTGGCTCAGGGATGGCAGCGGCAACCCGGCTGCCAGTCTCCAAAAAGCTGGGGGACTCTCTGACCCACTCCCAACCCCCGACATGATCCATTCAGCCACCTCATCCTGTCTTCTCCTTGCCTCTCAAATCTGCTTTCTGCCTCCTCTGCTCTTTGAGAACTAGGATAGGTGTCTCCCAGCTGGTAGCGGCCTTCTTGCCCAACTTGACTCCATCCTGAACATGTCAGCCATGCATCCATCTGTTTGTGCAAGAACCACTGAGCACCAAGGGACAAGTCCTTTGCAAAATGCTAGGAGGGCAGGGGGTGCAGAGACCAAGAAAGAAACAAGGCCCCTCTTCCAGGGGCTCACAAGTGACAGGAGCAGGGAAGACAATCAAAAAGCCCTTAGGAAAAGGTGTGGTTTATATGTTTATAGCATTATATAAGGGCCTTCAGAAAGTTCACAGAAAATGCATTTTATTAAAAAGATATGCATGGATTTAAAAAATTTTTGCACCAAAACAAACATCTTTTTTTTTTTTTTTTTTGACAGGCAGAGTGGACAGTGAGAGAGAGAGAGACAGAGAGAAAGGTCTTCCTTTGCCAGTGGTTCACCCCCCCAAATGGTCACCGCGCTGCGGCCGGCGCACCGCGCTGATCCGAAGGCAGGAGCCAGGTGCTTCTCCTGGTCTCCCATGGGGTGCAGGGCCCAAGGACTTGGGCCATCCTCCACTGCACTCCCGGGCCACAGCAGAGAGCTGGCCTGGAAGAGGGGCAACCGGGACAGAATCGGGCGCCCTGACCGGGACTAGAACCCGGTGTGCCGGCGCCGCAAGGCGGAGGATTAGCCTAGTGAGCCGCGGCGCCGGCCTAAACTTATCTTTTAATTCTACTTTCTCATGAACGTTTTTGAGGTATTATCATGTATGTAAACACATATATATACACATGTATGTATATATCTTGGTTATTATTCAACACTTATATGACCTACAAATATCAACCCAACTTGTCATTTCAATTTTAAGTGTTTACATCTCCCGACTCACAGTTTTCCATTTTCAAGTGGTCAAACCTGCCAACCATCCTTCTGACAGCCTTGGAAGAACTCTCTCTATCCCAAATTATGAAAGATAATTTCTATATATTCTTCTCGAACTTCATAGGGTTTTTTTTGTTTTAAGGCTTGGATTTTTTTAAAATCCATCTGGAAATGTATTTTTAAATACAGAGTGAGTCACCTTTTTGCACATGAGTATCAATTGTTTCAGCATCGTTTGCTGAAGCCGTTCTTTCCTGAACCTGAAACATCACTTTAGTACACGCCGAGTTCCCATATATATAATATATATATATAGTTAGCGCTCTTACTGCATAAGCGAGTCATCCCCTGCTGTGCCAGTACCACACTGCTTATAGTACTTTCTTGTATTTTAAGTATCAGGGAAAGCTAATTAACTCTCATGATCTTTTTTTTTTTCCAAATATCTAGCAGCTCTTCTACACACTGACTCTTCCAAATGTACTTTAGATCCTTGTGTCAAGTTCCCTGCCTACACACACATGTGCACACACACGCGTGCGCACACACACACACCCCTAAAACAAACCCCACTGTTTTATGGAAATTACGTTGAATGGATAGGTTTATTCAGGGAGAATTGACATCTTTACAAAACAAAGACTGGCCACTCATTTATGGAAGTTTTTACTTTTTTTTTTTAGTCCAGCAGTAAACCTTTATAGCTCTCTTATTACCTGCTTTTTAAAAATTGATTTAGTAGCAGTTACAGAGAGACAGAGACACAGAATGAGAAGAGAGATTTTCAACTGCCGGCTCACTCCCCGAATGGCCACAACTGCCTAAGCTGGGCCAGGCCAAAGCCAACAGCCAGGAGTTCAACCTGAGTCTCCCACAGGAGTGCCAAGGGGCCCAGGCATGGGGATCATCTCCTGCTGCTTTCCCAGGTGCATTAGCAGGGAGCTGGATGCCAAGTGGAGCAGCCGGGACTCGAGCGGGGCCTATATGGGATGCCGGAGTCACAGACGACAGCTTAACCTGCTGCACAATGTCTTCATACATTTCATACTAACTTTATTCTTAGGTACTTTGAAGTGTTTGCTGCCAATAGAAGTGAAGTTGGCATTCTTTCATCCACACTTTTATTTTATTACCCATTCTAGCTGCTGGTTACTTTTACATAGGAAGACTCTGCATCCTGTACAAGCATACGGTGCCTACACTGGATTTTTATCCTAATAGTTTTTCCTCTGATTCAGTGCAAGGTTTCTAATAACAAAACCAACGTAGCTACTGTGCACTTTACACATGCTGTTCCCGCTGCCTGGAATTCTCTTCCCACCTCCCTCCCCTATTGCACCTTCCCGCTAACTTTTTTCTTCAAAGCTAGCTCAAGGATCACTTGCTTAGGGAAACCTTCCTAGCTCAAGGATCACTTGCTTAGGGAAACCTTCCTAGCTCAAGGATCACTTGCTTAGGGAAACCTTCCCTGAGCTGGCCAGACTGGGTAGGCGTCCCATTGCCTGGCAACATCTTGCTCTTCTGCAGCCCTAAAGCCAGTAACTGTTTTTCCCGGTGAAAGTAGCCTCGATTCATTTTGAAATGAACATGGTAAAACCCCCTAAGGAGAAATCACCCTAATTCTAGCTCTTCTAGTATTTCCATAGAGTTGCTTTTCAGTGGTTGGGGGGGGGGGGGCTGCAAGTCCAGCTTTATTGAGGACCCTTTTTATGTGAAACAGGCCTGCTTGGAAAACGCGTCACCTCCCAGCCAGGGCCTAGCCCGGGGCCAGCTCCAGGTCTGCCACCCACAAACGCACACCTGCGCGGCGCCGCTGCAGGACACGGCTGCAAGCCACAGACGGTGGCCCCGCGCGCCGGGCACCTGCCACCAGCCCCACGGCCCTCTCAGCCTGGAGCCCGTGAGAAGAGGCCATCTTGCAGCCTGCCTCCGGCTCCAGTGGTTTCTTCCTTCCCGGTGACCCTGAGGTCCGCCTCTGAGTCCCCAGCGCTCGCCCCAGCGGCTCCGGTCACCCCGCGACTCCCTCTCCCTCGGGACAGGGGTCGCTCCCTAACACGGCCCGCCCAGCTTTTGTTTGCTACGAAGCGCACCAGGAGCCATGTTTGCTTTCTGCTGAAGGCAGCTGTGGTGGCCGGAGCGAGAAGGGCGGGAGGGGAGCGGGGGGCCCGACCCCAAACCGGCGGCCGTGGGGCTCCCTCCGCTTCTGCTGCCCTGGGTCCCTCGCCAGACTCTGGGGAAGAGAAAGTGGCCGTTCCCAGCCCAACTACTGACTCACTCGGCCAGCGAGGCCCCCCGGCCCACGCTGTTACCGCCCATTTTCCAATTTGCTTTACGAGGTAATTGCCTCGGGGTATGGTAACTGCTTCCCCACTGCCACGATTCTAACACCACGTCCCTGGACACCCCCCACCCCGCAGTGTCGGGACCCCCACCCGAGCTTGGGGCTCGAGAATCGTCCCGTTTCCCCCCACCCCAGTTCTAAAGCCCCCCAACCCCACTGGGCTCCAGGACGGGCTTCCTGCCTCTCCGCCCCTCTCCCTCCCAAACCCACTAATCGGGGCCTGGGGGCACAGGGACGCCTCCCCACCTCGGACCCCGGACACCCCTCCTCTGGGGTCCCCCCCGCCCCCGCGGGGCGGGAACAGCGCGCCCACCGGAAGGGGCGTGGCCCGGCAGCGGGCAGTGCCGATTGGCCGAGGCGGGCCTGACGCCCGCTCCCGCTATAAGAGCGCGGCGGGCTGCCGTCTGCGCCAGACGTTCTTCGCCGAGAGTCGCCGAGGTTTCCTGCTTCAACAGTGCTTGGACGGAACCCGGCGCTCGACCCCCGCCCCAGCCGGCCACTCAGAGCCAGCCCTCCGCCAGCTTCTCACAGCGCCCTCGGACCGCCCGCAGGCCCTCGCCGCCGCTCCAGCTCCGTGCAGCCGCCGCCGCCGCCTCTCAGCCGCCCGCCATGACGTCCGCGTCTTCTTCGCAGGTGCGCCAGAACTACCACCAGGACTCGGAGGCCGCCATCAACCGCCAGATCAACCTGGAGCTCTACGCCTCCTATGTCTACCTGTCCATGGTGAGCGCGGGCGGGCCTCAGGGGCCCGGGGACAGGGCGGGGCCGGGGGCGGGCTCCCCACCGCCGCCTCCGTGCGCCCGTGTGGAAAATGGAGGCTGCTCGCCTCGCCCCGGACTGCCGCTGGCGCAGGAGTCCGGGCAGTTGGCCCGTTGCACTGTCGCCTCGGAGGACTCCTCCTTGGCCCTGACACCTCTGTATAGAGAGCCCGGCATCCTGAGACTCCAGGGTTGCAAGATTTGCAGCCTGTACAGTCACGGAGGTGGGCCCCTGCCCCCGATCACGTGTCCCGGAGCAGGATCCAGCTGCGATCCCCCTGGGTGCCGCAGGGCCCTCTGGGTAGTGGTGTCTCATGACAGCCTTGGGGGCTGGTGCACAGTGGCTTATCTCTGGGGGCCGACCCCTCTCTGAGCAACCGTCTCCACCTCTCTGCTTATCTCCAAGTCCCACTTGCATTGAACCATATCTCCAGAGATCTCCCTTCCTGCAGTCCCTGCGCCTTGGAGTGCTTTATCTTCTGTCCTTTCTTTGGAAGAGAACCCCAGAGTACTTGGTTCAAGTTGGTTCCCGGGGAAGGAATCCTCCCATGCATTAGTGAGACTGGGTTTCCGTGGGGTGGGGGGCAGTCGGGTCTAGAGTTGCCTTGTGGTTGTGCGAATTGTCCAAGAAGAGGCAGGTTCCAAGCAGAGCTGAAAATGGATGGACCCTGGGTTTCTGTGACTGCCCGTTCCCTTTCAGCATCACTCAAACACAGCAAGTGTCCAAAGCTGAAAAATCTGATTTTTTTTTCCTTTCTGCTGATAATATGTGTATGCCAATATATTGCCCACAGTTGTCATCTTGGTGTTAATATTTAAATCGGCAGCCCGCTGTACAGTTGGCAGGTTGTAGCATGGTTGATCAGGGAGGAAGGGAAGAGGGGACAGAAGTGCCAGGTACATACTCTGCCACCCGCCCCAAACATGGCACTGTGTTAATACAGATGCTTAAGACACTGCTTGGGGCCGGTGTTGTGGCACAGCCGACGCGGCATCCCGTATGAGCGCCGGCTCCAGGCCCAGCTGCTTGACTTCCAGTCCAGCTCCACGCCACTGTGCCTGGGAAAGCAGTGGGCCCTTGCCACCCCCATGGGAAACCCTAATGGAGTTCCTGGCACCTGGCTGCTGCCCGATCCGGCCCCGGCCGTTGCAGCCATTTGGGAACTGAAACAGCAGATGAAAGATCTCTCTCAGCGCTCCCTCCCTCTAACTCTGCCTTTCAAGTAAATAAATCTTTAAAAAAGACACTCTGTGCCCAAGGCAATTCCATGGTGTACTGCCCGTGGCCATCGGCAGCTTCCTTCCCTGGGGAATCCCTGACGGACTGTGTCCATGTTCTTCTTTCAGTCTTACTACTTTGACCGTGATGATGTGGCTTTGAAGAACTTTGCCAAATACTTCCTCCACCAGTCTCACGAGGAGAGGGAACACGCTGAGAAACTGATGAAGCTGCAGAACCAGCGAGGGGGCCGGATCTTCCTTCAGGACATCAAGGTGAACAGCTCTTGGGGTGCTTTGTGACCAGCAGCGTCCGAGTGTCAGAAATCACTTGGACAGTAGCACCTGCCCTCATTTATCAAACGGCGACGCAGCGGGCTTATGCCCTTTGTGTCTTCTTGGGCCTGCCATCTAGACTCAGGTAGAAAAACAGTAACGGTCAAGGACCGGAAATTGGAAGCCGTTGTCAGGGGAAACTTGGATGTCCCCTTGACCAAAGCGTGGTGGTTGTGGTAGGTGCCTGCTGCCCTGAGTTGGGTTAACTGGCAGATGCACTGACCTGTCTCCTCCCATTCAGAAACCAGAGTATGACGACTGGGAAAGTGGACTGAATGCAATGGAGTGCGCACTGCACCTGGAAAAAAGTGTGAATCAGTCACTGCTGGAACTGCACAAACTGGCCACGGACAAAAATGACCCCCACGTGAGTATGGGCAACCCAGGGAACACGTGGAGGAAGTTACTTGCCTGAGGGTTGGAAAGCTGACCAGTTACCGTTCTTCCCTGCCCTGTTTTCCAGTTGTGTGACTTCATTGAGACGCATTACCTGAATGAGCAGGTGAAGTCCATCAAAGAACTGGGTGACCACGTAACCAACTTGCGCAAGATGGGAGCCCCCGAATCTGGCATGGCAGAGTATCTCTTTGACAAGCACACCCTGGGACACAGTGATAACGAGAGCTAAGCCTTAGGCTCGCTTCCTGGCTGTGCACCACAGCAGTGCCTGCATGTCGGGGCTGCCTTTACCTTTTCTAGACATTGTACCAAACATCCACCTGCATACTTTAATTTGTACCATTCCTTCAAATAAAGAAATTTGGTACCCAGCTGTCTTGGAGATCACGGGATGGGCCTGTAGTCTCTTTAGGCTGTCTTCCACATCCATTAAATGTCAGGAACAGTCAACACCAATCAAAATGAGACACCTAGGAGAATATTTGTTTTTATTATATTAAACTCTTTAGTTTGGGAAAGATACTAAGGTACAGGTATGATCAATTCAGGTAAGAGTAAAGACTTGGGATTCGGGTTCTGTTCTGAATTGTGTGTTTCCAAAGATTCATTCTCACTTCCACAGTGTGCAGGGCAGAAAGACTGAAGTAGTCCAGGACTGCTTCCTTTTGTTAACCGTTCAGCTAACCGTTAGTAATCCAGGCCATCATAGGAATGTGGTCTTCAGCACGGACTGCTGTGTGGCTGTAACTCATCAGTGTCCTCCTAGTGGACACGCGGGTGAGGACCAGGCGGGAGAAGAGTCTCCCCTAGGAAACAGGTCAGGAATGTGCTTCATCCCTGTGGGTAATTTGAGACAGTTAACAGCGTGCCTGTCGGCACCCCCTTCATTTCAGTACTAGTTTCGTGGTAGGAGGGCTAAGCTAAGGTTGAAACATCTTAGAATTCTTAACATTCCCTGACTGACACCCCAGGTCATTTAGAGAATTTCCTGTCTAGCCCTAGGAGCAAGCCTAAAATTGGTGCCCTTTTTAAGTTTTTCCAATCATGATAGCGGCTATGTGTTCTGACCACCAAACAACTGCTTGTCAGTCAAGAAACAGGAAGTTACACTTCCTCCCCACACAAATGTGGGTTGAATGAAAGTCTCCAGGGGATCTGAAACCTGCTGAGAAGTTTTGGGGAAGCCCACAAAACAGAAGATAGCTCAGGGGCACTGGATGCTTCCACTCACCCCTACCATCTGCCAGTTGCCAGTGCTGGCCACCCGCAGTGCTTTGCAGCCTTTGCCATCTAAACCCATGCAGCAAGTCAAATCCTTGGCTACAACCCAGAGCACCCCCAGTTGTGCACTGGAGTTTCGTGTCAGCCACACCTGCCCGTCTAGACCTGTCGGCCAGCCCTTCCAGCATCAGTGTTGGTGCAGTCTTCCTTCACCTCACTCCCAGGGAATTTTTCCTGGTGATGTCAGCTCCCTACCACTTGGCTAGTAGGGTTCCCTCCCGCTGAGGTAGGCGGGTAGGTATATACCCTAAGCTGGTGCTGGCATAGGCCCAGCATGCTGGAACAGGAGAAAGCGGTGAGGGCTGGGGAGGAGGGCCATGCCCAGGGGAAGGCAGTGGCTGCTTTAGGTGGAGGACACACCTGTTTTCCAAGCTAGAATAAGGATTCCCATGATCTTTGAGGATAGATTGTATGTTGCCCCTTGAACGTTCCACATGGGGTTCTCTTGGATGGCCTTCGGGGACATCTTGTATGTTGACCAGGTTAAACTCCACAGTTTTCCTCCTCACGTGACCTGCTGGGTACTCTGTCGAGGCCTCCGTACTCGCCGTGCTCACCAAGGCCAACTCCAAACTGCTCTTGGTCCCAGAACTCAAGGACTTTAGGCTTTGGTATTCAGCATCCGTGCCTGGGACCCCGTAGGGCTGTGAGGGATCGGACTGTTCTTGGGGGAAGACCGTGGGCGTGCTGCTGGGAGCTGTCTGAGGAGCGCTGGGGTCTGCAGCGAACAATGGAACCGTCTTGAAGGCCTGCACCAACAGAGGCTTCCAGGACTTGCTGTCTTCCCAGTGTTTGGAGTTCTGTTTGGTGTTCTTGGGCTGGGCCTCATAGACACAGGACTCCTTCCTGGGCCACAGCGGTTTGGTGGTGTCGGGGGCTGTCCTGGGCGGAAGGTGGTTGTGGGACTGCTGCCCTAGGAAGCGGCCAATGATGCCAGTGTGCATGTTTTCCGCCAGATTTGGCTGAAATTTCATCTCTTCCTCCTGCAGACTAAAGGAGGGGGGTGCTCAGCACTGAGTGTGGGGACACAGGACTGAAGCCTGACCTTCCTTCGCTCTTACGCCCTCCACTGCCGCCCCTTGGCCCAAGGTCAAGGCCACACAGTCTTCCTCACATTGCACAAGCTTGTGCTCCTCTCCTGATCACCTCCCAACAAGGCCCAGCTCAACTCACTGTACCTTAACTCACCCTTGGCTGCAGCCTACAGCCAAAACCCTCAGCCTGGCATGACAGAGCCTCCTCTTTATCACCCACCTTCTCCCTTGATACCTCTTCCTCCAGGAAAGCACAGCTGGTCCCCGTTATAAATGGTTCAGATAAGGCCCAGGAGCCACTCCGGCAAGGACGGGGATTTGCAGTTCCTTCCCAGAGAGAAGTTTGGCTTCCTGGGAGCACAGCAGCTTTGCAAAAGAAAGCTGACTGGGGCGGGGTGGCACTGTGGCACAGCAGGTTAAACCACTGCCGTGCATCCCATCCTGTATGGGTGCCGGTTCGAGTCCCAGCTGCCCCGCTTCCGATCCTGCTCTCTGCTATGGCCTAGGAAAGCAGTAGAAGATGGTCCAAGTCCTTGGGCCCCTGTGCCCACATGGGAGACACGGAAGAAGCTCCTGGCTCCTGGCTTCAGATCAGCACAGCTCTGGCCATTGTGGCCATTTGGGGAGTGAACCAGCAGATGGAAGATCTCTCTCTCTCTCTCTCTAGCTCTACCCTCTCTGTAACTCTGACTTTCAAATAAATAAAATAAATCTTTTTCTAAGAAAAAAAGGGGGGGGGGCTGATGGAAGATCTGTCTCTGTAACTCTGCCTTTCAAGTAAATAAATCTTTAAAAAAAGGAAGCAAGCTCACTTACCCCAGCCCTTGTCCGTGACCCCACTACCCTTGGGTCCCAGCTCTCAGCTCCAGGCACGGCCAAGGCAGCCGGAGGTAACATCTGTTTCATGTTCTGTCCCTAGGTGTCTAGTATTTTGTCCCCAGAGCTTGAACCTTGGGCTTGAGCTCCCTCACTACCTTGTATATCGCCTGCAAACAAGGTCTATGGGTTTTGCATCAATGATCCACGCCTCCCAGCTCCCACCTTCAGCTGCTGGGACACAGATCACGTAAGGCTCAGACATCCTCTAGAAATGTTCCTGACCTCAGCGAGCCCCCAGCCTTCATGGAATCACTTTCCCAGCCTCCCTCACACTGATTATGGACTCCAGTTTAGTCCCAATTACAGTTGCATAGGCCACTTGTTTCTTCAAAGAGCAGGGAGAAAACTGTGGAAGAAAATCTGAGTAAAGCCCCCGACAGGTGCCAAGCACTCTCCAAAGCCCTCTCAACTCTGTCAAGGGACACAGGGACACTGAACCGGCTGGGAAGGCCTTCCTGCCCGACCGCAGCCAGGAGGAATGCAGACTGAGGCGGGGGGAATGCAAACGGGTGACTGAAAGTCTGCTGCTGTGGGAGCCTGCAGGGTGAAGTTCACAGGGGAAGCACCTGTGATTGCTCAGCCCCCACTGGCTTGCTGCCCCTCCCCGGCCCCAGGCCCTCCCACTTCCGCTTCCCAGCCAAACAGCTTGGTTCAGAAAACTTTGTTCTGATCAGAGACGGGAACCAGGCCTTCATCTCCATTGCATCACCCACTGGCTGCCCTGGAATGAGTCCCTTTCCTCTCTGGACAAGGGAGAAAAGCACTTCCAGCCTACAGGGTCCTTAAGCAGCACAGGTAAGGGTTAAAAATGTGGAAGCAGGATCAGTGGCGTAGTGAGTAAAGCCGCTGCCTGCAGCACCGCATCCCAAATGGACTGGTTTGACTCCTGACCGCTCTGCTTCCAATCCAGCTCCCTGCCAATGCACCTGGGAAAGCAGCAGCAGATGGCCCACGTGCTTGGGCCCCTGAACCCACATGGGAAATCCTGACGAAGCATCTGGCTCCTGGCTTCAGATCGGCCTAGTGGCCATCTGGGGAGTGGACCAGCAGATGGAAGACCTCCCTCTCTCTCTAACTCTGCCTTTCAAATCTTTTTTTTTTTTTTTTAAAGATTTATTTATTTGAAAGAGTTACAGAGAGGCAGAGGCAGAGAGAAAGGTCTTCCAACTGTTGGTTCACTCCCCAAATGGCCACAATGGCTGGAGCTGCACCGATCTGAAGCAAGGAGCCAGGAGCTTCTGGGTCCCCAACGTGGGTGCAGGGGCCCAAGGGCTTGGACCATCCTCCATTGCTTTCCCAAATCATAGCAGAGAGCGGGATTGGAAGAGGAGCATCTGGGACCTGAACCGGCACCCATATGGGAAGCTGGCATTACAGACTGTGGCTTTACCTGCTACGCCACAGCGCCAGCTCCATAAATAAATCTTTAAAAAAAAGATTGGCGTGGCTTAAGTGTGCCCTTTGTCAGCAGTGGGCTGGACAACTCACCCTCTCTGAACCTGTACGTGACCACCAGAAAATCGGGGGTAACGAGCCGGGATTATTTGGAGGAGAAAATAGGTACTGTACTGTCTGTAAAGAGCGCAGTAAGTGCCCAGCCCTTTCAAGGCACTCAGTAAATGCTAACTAGTATCGCTCTAAGTTCCGAGACCCCTGCACTTGGTGGGGGTCTCACCCAGCTCCCTGGCATTGCCTACCTGATGTCGAAAGCAGAGCCCATATACGAGGCTCGCCGAGTCTGGGAGGCAGCCACCGTGTAGGGGGGCTGTGGTTCCGGGTCATTCCAGTATATGTCCTGCTCCAGTGGAGGCAGGTCCTGGTGCATGTTGTCCACAGACAGCAGGGACACCTGGTCAGCAGAGACAGAAAGGCAAGTCCCCAGGAGAGGTCACCCCAGGCAGGACCATGAACTTGTCTGATGACTCAGAAAACTCCTTTCCCTCCCTCCGGACCACAGTCTTAGTGCTTGTAAAGTGCAGAGAGGCTGTCGCCCACCCACAGCCTCGGACTGTGAGTGAAAGGTTGGCTGTGGAAACGCGGGGTCCCCAACCTTGGGTCCAGTTTAAGCAGGGCCCAGGGTGTAGCTTCCCTTCCCCCCACCTCATACCTGCAAGTTCCTGTCAATTATCCAGTTGACCTCAAAGTCATCATCATCCTCACCAAAAGGGTTGATGAGCTGCTCTGCCACCTGGGGGATACGTGAGGCTCTGCAAACCCTCAGGTAGACGTCCTCCAGTCCTGCCGCTCCCTCGGATCTGCCCGCTCCATGCTCCCAGGATGCGCTTCCTGCCTGAGCACCGTCTTCAAAGCCACAGGGCAGGGGAACCACACCCATGCCCCTGCGTTGCAAGGCACTGAGCCAGTTCTTCCCTGGATGCTCACTGTCTCTCGGATGAGTCACCACCTTTGTCTCACCTTGCTTATCTGGATTGCATACTTTGATTTGCTCTTGTTTTTTGACAGGCAGAGTGGACAGTGAGAGAGAGAGACAGAGAGAGAAAGGTCTTCCTTTTGCTGTTGGTTCACCCTCCAATGGCCGCCGCGGCCGGCACGCTGCGGCTGGCGTACCGCGCTGATCCGATGGCAGGAGCCAGGTGCTTCTCCTGGTCTCCCGTGGGGTGCAGGGCCCAAGCACCTGGGCCATCCTCCACTGCACTCCCTGGCCACAGCAGAGAGCTGGCCTGGAAGAGGGGTAACCGGGACAGAATCCGGCACCCCGACCGGGACTAGAACCCGGTGTGCCGGCGCCGCAAGGCGGAGGATTAGCCTAGTGAGCCGCGGCGCCGGCCGATTTGCTTTTTTGAAAGGTTGATTTATTTATTTGAAAGTCAGAGTTACAGAGAGGGAGAGGCAGAGAGAAAAAGAGAGAGAGAGAGAGAGAGAGAGAGAGAGAGAGAGAGAGATTTTCCATCTGCTGGTTTACTCTCCCATCGGCCACAACGGCCAGGGCCGGGCCAGACCAAAGCCAGGAGCTTCATCTGGGTGTCCCACATGGGTGCAGGGGCCCAAGGACTTGGGCCATCTGCTGCTGCTGTTTCTGCTGCTTTCTCAGGCACATTAGCAGGGAGCTAGATTGGAAGCGGAGCAGCTGGGTCTTGAATCAGTGTCCATATGGGATGCTAGCACTGTAGGTGGCAACTTTACCTGCTGTGCCACAGCGCCAGCCCCTCTTCATTGTTTTCTGATGTCACATGGATATATGCTCTGGGGCTGGGCTGAATTAAGGGGTGGTCCAGGGGAACAGAAGCCTGGATGCTAATCTCTAAAGCACCCTGAGGGGCCGGCGTCCTGGGGCAACAGGTTAAGCCACCACCTGAAACACAGGCATCCCATATCAGAGCGCCAGTTAGAGTCCCAGCTGCCCCATTTCTGGTCCAGTTCTCTGCTGATGCACCTGCGAAAGCAACAGAAGTTGGCCCATTACCCACGTGGGAGACCCAGATGGAGCTCCTGGCTCCTGGTTTTGGCCTGGCCCAGCCCCAGCTGTTGTGGCCATTTCGGGAGTGACCCAGAGGAGGGAGGATCTGTTCCTGTCTCTCCCTCTCTCTCTCCGTTACTCTCCCTTTCAAATAAATAAAACAAATATTTGAAAATAATAATGAAACATCCTCCACAGAGGTGATGAGCTGCCTTAAGGGCCTAGGGGACATTTTTGCAAGCCACTGGTGCATCTTAGAGAACATCTAGCATAGAAGTGCGGAGATCCGGAGATCTGGGGACAGGTATAGGAGGAACGGCAGTGCGTGTGCGTGTGTGTGTGCGTGTGCGTGTGCATGCGTGCATCCCACATCACCACTACCAAAACATAAAGGAAGAAAGGAAGAGAGGGTAGGGGAAGAGGGATGAGCTCTGCAAACAGGCCTCTTGAGTGAGGAGTGGTGGTGTCAATCTGCCCTCTACAGGACGCGCTGGGGATGGTCAGCCTCAGAGCTTTTGTGTCAGCAGGGGACCCATCTGGGGCCAGAGCTGAAGAAATGAGGTTGGGCCTCTTTCATTCCACGCCATCCCCCTGTTCTGGACACACATGGGACGGGCACCAAGGGTTAGAGCAGCCAAACTTTCCCTGTCTCTCGTGCCGGCTGACGTCCGGGCCTTAGGTCAAGCCTGGGCATCAGACCCAGGCCTCGAGCACACCCCCCTCTTCCTTGGGTCTCCGTAGCCTCTTAGGCACCTGTAGACCAGAGGTCTACACCCTACTGTTCCCATTGAGAGTCTCCTTTCCTGGCTGGCCATCCTCATCCCAGGCCAGCTGGCCACGCCCACAGCTCCCCAGGTCCTGGAGAGCTCACCTTCAGCCAGCCGACATAAAAGAAGAACTGCAGGAACGTGAAGACAGGCACAATGAAGTCCAGCTCATGGCCGGGGTAGCCCTTGATTGGGTTCAGGAATTGCCGTCCAAGCAGGCAAGCCAGGAAGAAGCTGTACACGGCTACGGTCACCACCTGGGAGGAAAGAGAGGAAGGGGTGGCAGAAAGGGGCTGAGTGGGGGCCCTGGGATCGGGAAGCTGCCCAGGTTGGGAGTCTGAGGCCTTGCCGTGACTTTCACACGCCAAGTCATGCGTGTGACTCCCTGTCACCGCCCCTTTAGGACCCAGATAATCCAACTGCCGTCTCTGGGCTGCAACAGGCAGGAGCCCAGACACTCTGAACTTGCCACTGCCACCGAAGTCCAGACCCAGCTCCCAGGATGAGAGCTTCCTTAGGCTCCAGGTGAGCCCTTCTTCCCATCACAGGCTGTTTCCTGGGTGCTCCTAGCCTGTTTCCCAAAAAGAGACAGCCTCACCAGCCTGGTCCTCACCTGGGTGTACACCAGCGGGATACTGATCCAGTCGTAGGCATAGAGGTGTCCACACTGAGTACGCAAAGTGCCCATCTCCTGCGGAGCAGGAGGCAGGGATGGGGTTCTGACCACCACCTGCTCTCATGGGCTCAACCCCAGCTCTTGCCCCCCACCCCACCCCCAAAACCAGGATGTGGTGCTCGTGGTCCAGCTCTGGCTGTGTGGTCATGGGCAACTCACTACACCCCTCTGTGCCTTAGCCTCCTCATCTATCAAAGAAGAGTCAGGTTCTTACAGTCTCACTTGGAGAGCAGACAGGAGGGACCTTTGAGGAGGGGCCGCTTTGGGTTGGGAGCTCCTGTTGGATAAGATGCTACAACCCCATTGCAGACTCTGGGGAGACCCTCAGGGGCTTGTTCCACCTGGACCACAGCCCTTCCCACCCATGTATCAGGCTCACATTCAGCAGGCCCTGGAGCAGGACAGGGTCCCGGATTCGACCTTCCACCCAGATCTTAAACGCCAGGTTGGCAAACCACACCCAGGGCACCCAGAACATGTTGTGTGGTAAGGTCAGTTTCTCCAGATGCTTGTGTTCCGCAGGGGTCATAAAACCTGCAAGGTGGAATGAAGAGGACATGGTGGAAGGAGCCGCAGAAGCCGGGCCGGCATCCGGTGGCCAGGCCCGACCTCCCGGAGCCCTCCGAGACCTCCGCGCCCCTTCGGTAAGCTCTTGCAACAAACATGACCGAGCGTCTGCCGCGTGCTGTTGAGGGCTTCGAAAAGGCCCTACGTCATTAACTGGGACCGCCAAGGTCAGGCCCAGGGCGAGGCCAGAGACTGACGTCATGGACCTCCAGAATGGACCCCGGAGGTCAGGAGGGGGAAGGTTGGAAGGAGGTAAGACCCTGGGGCCTCACCAGTGCTCAAGCCCCCACCCCTCCTTATCCCCCGGGAGTCCCAGTCCTGGCCTCCTCTCGGCAAGCACCTGACTCCGCCCCGCCCAATTCCGCCCCAGGTCGTGGCCCCGCCCTTCCCTCAGACCCACCCAATCCTCAAGTCCGAGGGACTCGGACTCCACCCACTGGCAACCCCTCTCCAGCCTCCGGCCCCGCCCCGTTCGGGCCTGGCCCCGCCCACCTGCTTGCACCAGGTGTTGGGAGGTGGGAAAGCGCTTGTAGACCGCGCGGCTGACGCTGCGCAGGATGAGCAAGATGCCCAGGTTGGCGTAGCGGATGAGCGTGCGCCGCAGCAGCCGGCCCTGCTCGTCCCTGCCCTCCACGCAGCTGGACACCAGGCTCATGAGACGGTCCGGCCACGGCAGGTTCTCGTACTGGTTCCACCAGCGGGTCACCACCAGGGTCACGTAGAAGCCTGGGGAGAAGGGACGGGGGCGAGGGCCGAGTGCCCGGGCTGCAGCCAGAGCCCGCGGCACCTCGCTTTCTCCTTGCTGGTTGTGAGCCGGCCCAGCCCCAGCCCTCCTGGAAGGCGCAAGGGCCTCAAGAGTTATCTCAGTGTCCGGCCGGGCCCAGAAACCCGCTGGCCCCTCCCCTCAGGCAAGGGGCTTCCCTCGAATTCCGGGGTTAACAGCCGGACTCCTGCCGTCTAACCTGAGTCTCCTGTGCCCACCACCGACCTGCCGCGGCCCAACCCCCGCCGGCTCCTCTGGCCCACCCCAGGGCTTGTGTGGGGGCTCGGGCGACCGAGCGGTCCCAGGACAGCTGGAAGAGGGAATCTCACCCAGTACGAAGGATATGGGGATGAGTTGGATGTAGCTGTCGCAATACAGAGTCAGCTTCTCAAAGAACAGCTGCTGGTTCTCCTTGAGGACCACTCTGGGGATGTGAGGAGACGGCCAAGGTGACTGCTGGGGCCATCCTCCTGTCCCTTCCACTGGCCCACGGCCCCAAACCCAGAGAGCCTGGCGAAGGTCCCCTGGGGAGAATCCTGACCGTGACCCCTGGCTCAGCAGGGGGAAGAAGGTCCAAGGTCCCACACTGCTGACCTCTGAAAAGGTCAGTGTTAAAAGCAGGTGGGAAGTGTGTTTGGTCTTTTTGCTTTTTTAAAGATTTATGTATTTGAAAAGACATAAATCAGAGTTACAGAGAGAGGGAAAGACAGAGAGAGAGAGAGAGAGAGAGAGAGAGAGAGAGAGAGAGAGTTCCATCTTCCATCCACTGGTTCACTCCCCAAATGGCCACAGTGGCTGGGGCTGGGCCAGGTGGGGGCCAGGAGTCGGGAACTCCATCTGGATCTCCCACAGGGATGCAGGGGCCCAAGTACCTCCACCATCTCCTGCTGCTTTCCCAGGCCCATTAGCAGGGAGCTGGATTAGAAGTGGGACAGCCGGGAATCGAACCAGCACCCCTGCAGGATGCTGGTGTCGCAAGCATTGTGACCACTGCACCACAACGATGGTCCCACTTCTTTGGTCTTTTAAACAATGTGTGGTGGACAGGGATGAAAAGGTGGGGCATAGAGGGTTTCTCCCCCAGTGAGAGTAACCCTGGTGCTGCTGCAACCATGGATACAAGCCACATTTGTCCAGACTGGAGAATGGACCTCATTGAGAGGGAGCCCCAACTGTGGCCTTTATGTGACAGTGATGTGTCAGTGCAGGTTCATCGAGGGGCACAAATGGACCACTGTGGCGTGGGTGTCGGGACAGGGCCATGACAACTGTCTTGACTTTATGTTTCATTTTGCTGTGACGTGAATCCCTAAAGTGTAATAATCAAAGACGACCCAGGGGCTTTGTCGTTAGTGTTATTATGAACTCAAGACTGTTAGGCTTCGGTGCTTTTTAATCCATCCTGGTCAGCAAAATGCTTTTTCAGTCTAAAATACTATTATATTTTCTGGGATTGTGTCTGTCCCTCCTATTATTGAAATTATATATTTATTTAAAAATGTACAGTGTAGGCTTACAAGACAGTGTGGGAGACAGTGAAACAATTCTGACCAGCCGGACCAGGGAAGGCCTGAGTTCCAGATCCCTCCCTGGGTCAGAGGAAAGGGGGTCTGGGACACCCCACCAGGGTTGAGCTGCCCCCCATGACCTGCCACGAGCTCTTTCTGGGGGTTCACTGATACATTGCCCCCCCTGCTGCCACTGCCGCCCCAGCTGGCTGGGAGGGCGCTCGGGAGCTCCAAGCCCCAGGCCCCTCCCCCTGAGGCTGCGGCCCCTGGCGCTGCCGCCTGTACCTGTAAATGAGCCGAACGATGTAGTAACAGAGCACGAAGATGAGGAACTCGCCGTAGAGCAGCTTGTAGATGCTGCCTCGCCAGCACAGCAGCAGGCGGGAGAAGGAGCCTAAGCGGGCGTTCGCCACTCGGTTCGAGTAGGTGACGGTCATGGCCAGGCAACAGGCTGCAGCAGGTGGACAGACAGACAGGGACACTGAGGCTGGGGGAGGGGAAGGCTTTGGTGGGAGCCCTGTCTGGGACTCGTGTTGGCCCTTAGCCAGGACATCCTGCTCAAGGCCTCGGCTCTCCGGTGCGGACACTGGGAGAGGCACGAGGAGGTCTCCCAGATCCGCCCAGCTCTGACTGCCGGTGGGGGGCAGGACCCAAGAAAGTGATCCCAGAGGCTGCCCCAAAAGCCTCGGCACGGAAGACGCGTGAGCCCGGAATTTTGTAGACTGACAAAGTCAGCGACAACCACAGCGCCCGTGCACTGAGCTCCTCTCATTCTGCAGCTCCCCAGGCTCCCTCGGGAAGGGGCCAGGTCAGCCCTGCCCACCACTGGACCCTCGTTCCCAGGACAGAGCCTGGCAGGCAGGGAGGCGCATGTGCTGTCCGCTGAATGGTGCCCCCCCCCGCCCCTTTGCACCTGCTGATCCTGCTGCCTGGGCATGCTCTTCCTGAGACAACTGCAAGGCTCATTCCTGCATCTGGTCACCTCCTGAGAAAGGATGCCCCGGCCACCCACCTGGAAACAGTTCCCCATGGGTCCTCTGACTGCTTGATTTTCCTACAGAGCACTTATCATTACTCCAGATTACGCTATCTGCCGTTGATTGCCTGCTTCCTTCTCAGAATAGAAGCTTGCATTGTGTTCTCACTGGAGGTACTCAATAAAAAATTACTGAAGCCATGACTGATGCTCCCCCACCTCCACCCCACCCCCGCATTCCAATGCTGCAGCACTGACTCCCTCTGTTCCTGGTGCACACCAAGCTCATCCCTACCTCAGGGCCTTTGCACATACAGATGCCCACACTCCCGTATGTGGGCCACCCGTGCATACACAGCACCCCCTCAAGTACAAGGACAGTCATCCACTCCCGAGGCCTCATAGACCCAGCCCTGCCCACCTGGGTCACCCCCTACTCACAGGTAGGGCTCCAGCTGGCCAGGTCATTTCCCAAAAGGTCTGGCTATCGGGCTGGTAGATCAACAGGTCTGGGACCCAGGAGGTGGTGCCCCTGCCCATACTCGGGGGCTGGCCCTGCCTGTGAAGCAGGCGTGCTGAGCAGTCAGTTAACTCCCTAAGCCAGCGCGTCCACAAAAGAGCCCTTGTCTTGGCCCACCGTATACTCTGCTCATGAGGCGCTGCCCACACAGCCTGGCCAGGGTCCCTCTAATTCCTTCCTGGGGAGCACTAGGCTGAGACCAGGACTGGGATCCGGAGCTGCCTCGCATGGGTCCTGACCTCTGAGGTCTAGCGAGGGGAGCTGGCAGGGGGCTGGAGGGCCTGAGCCTCATGCCGGGAGCAACCCCAGGAAGGGGAGCCCCTAACTGGGCTCTCAGCAGTCTCATGGGCCGTGGCAAGAACGCTGAGCTAGGTCGGGGGTCCTGGCTTCTGTCCCGGCTCTGCGGTGAACCCCACGGAGCTTCTGCTCCCCTCTCTCTGTGTCCCTGTCTGAGAAGGATGCAGATGCTTTGGAATTTCATGGCCTCCGTGAAGAGGGACAGAAATCTGCGTCTACTGGTGAGGAGCTCTGATTGGCTACTAGTGACATCATGGGTTACTCTGGCTGTGATTGGTTGGTAGGACCTCTTTGTGGGTTGCTTCAGAGCTGTGGAAGGAGAAGGGGGCAGGGAGCTGGGTGCGGGGGCAGCCTGGTGGGAGATGACATAGCAGCTTTGGGATGTATGCTGCCGGCTCCCAGCCAGCTGGTGCGATGTGGGAGCCTGTGCCCAGATCCCCACGGGCAGCTGGTTAGAATCTGAGCGGCTGACGCCATACATTCCGGTGCTCATGCATCAGTGCCTGGAGTGTCTCCTGACACACTCACGCACACCATAAAGCACAAAGAGCAGAACTCCGGGCAGCGATGGTTCTCGGTCTTTAGCGTCACTGAGAATTTCCCGGAATGTTGGTTCGGTGCGCAGCTTCTCAGATCTTTTCCCTGGAGCCTGAGCTGTGGTCTTGGGGATGTTGCATTTTTATCAAGCACTGCAGAGGGTTGTGATGGGAGTGGCCCTGGTTTGCACTGTGACCCTGAGCTACAAAACAAATCCCTCTTCTCCCTCCTCCTACATCCCCTCCTTCTTTTCCTCTCTCCTTCTCTGCTCCCAGCCCTGCCATACTAAGAGTTAACCATGCTAAGATTACAGGTGATTTTTGTATATACCAACTTTACCCTTATAATTCTCTTCCTGAAAAAAAAGGGTGCTATTTCACAGTGACCTTGTCTACTTTTCTATTCATAGCAAACAATAAAGCTGTCGGTAGGAGATAGTCTGTCTCTTCCCACATCAGAGGAGTGTTAGCTGCCTTGCCACTGCCCCCATTGAAACAGGGAAAGGAACACATTCACCTGGCCTCAATCTTCTCATCTGCAAAATGGGGTGGCAATGCCTAACCTGGCAGCCAGCTGAGATGGCAAACATGGTAATCAACTCTCCAGCCAGGTTCTCATGCCTGGCTGTCCGTGCACTTATTCGGGTTGGGGGAGGGAGCAGGGAGGCACTTATAAATCGCCAATTCTTGTGCCCCATCCTTATGCATTTGGATTCAGGAGATCCGGATGGGGTCCAGGGGGTGGTCCATTCCCAAGTTCCCCAAGTGACCCAGATGTACACAGCCTGGGCTGTCTCTGTTGTAAAGAATTACTTTCCTGTCTGTACTCCCTCTGCCCTTCCAGCACATATTAGAACCCAGGAGACACATTTTCATTTAGCAGATGATTAATGGACATATTTTTAATTAAAGTTAAGATGTACCTGGCACCATGCCGGCACAAGGATGCTCGCGTTGTATTGAAGGAACCATAAATGAAAATCCTGCTTTTGTGCAGATAGGCTCCTGCCTCCCCTGTGGTGGCCACCAGAGGGCGCGCTTGACTAGCTGGCTCTGGTCTGGGTCAGGGTGGATCTACAGGGTCAGTGTAGATAGATCGAGGGCTCCATTTGCCTGAGACTGCCCAGCCCGTGTGGAGCTTTGAGCTGGGAAACAGGCAGTTGGTCCTTCCTTTCCCCTGACCCACAGGTTTCTCAACAAAATCCCGTAGGTCCCAAGAGGACCTCCCAACAGTGTGAACCCGGTCTCCACCCACTCTCAGATGACCCAGGGTATCCCCCAAAACATCCCATGAGCAGCTGCTCCTGACCTAACCCTGAGACATGCACACCCAGGCACAAGTCGTCCTCTCTCCTACCAGGTGTCAGCCAGGAAAGTGTCCCCAGCCAGCCAGGCACAGCTCAGGCACACAGGACAGCCACAACGAGCCATGTGGCCCCCCGACTCAACTCTGCAGCTCCCAGCTCAGTCAGGGACGCCCTCTTCTGCTTGCTGTTGCACAGACAACGACCTATCTCTGGTGGCAGAACTGGGCTTGATCTGATCCCTGCTCCGAGAACTCACAGGCAAGTGACAATCGGGAAGCACCTATGCAGCTCCAACACAGACCGGCAAGGCTCAGGATCTGCACCCGATGCAGAGGTCGGGGAAACTCTTACAGAAAAAGGGACATTTGATTTGGGACTTGACGCATGAGTAGGAGTCCACTAAGCTGAGGGTAGAAGAGCATTCGATGTCAGGGGAACAGCCCACGACGAGTTACAAGACATCCCCCCAGGGAGGTTCAGAACCGTGTTCCTGCTCAAGGAGGGCCCAGGAGCTCAAGATCTGCTTGGCTCAAGGTCACGGCTGTCAATGACTCAGGCCTGGAATCTGGGCCTCCGGGCTTTGAATCCTGTGCCCGTTCCACTCCCCATCATCACCTCTGCAGTGCAGGGTCAGCTTCTGTGGGGTGGAGTCTTACCTGATGGGCAGTGGTGTCTCTGTTGGGGGTGAAGGGACAGCCAAGGGCAGGGGTGTAAACAGGAGAGTCTTTGACTGCAGCAGAATCTGCGCCCTGGAGAGCCGCCCAGCAGGAAGCCGTCCCTGAGGCCGGCAGAGCAGGGCTGGCGGGAGCAGAGGGTTCCACGCACGGAACGCTGCGGCCTTCTTACCTAGGGTTGCCATGGCAACAACAGCATCACAGAGGGCCCGCCAAGGCACGCTTCCAGGTCCTGCCTCAGCTGGGCAAGCAGAAGGGGACCCGGCTTGGCTGGGGGAAGTGGGCAGGGGCCCCTGGGGTGGGGCCAACCAGGCCTGGTCACTGCCTCCCAGGCTCTGTGCAAGGCACCTGCCAGCCCACACCCTTCTCTTGGGACAATCACAGAACAAACAGGGTGGAAGCCAAGCCTGGAGAGGAGGGGGCCTGGCACAGCTGGACAGGCAGGGGAGGGCCACGGCCAGTCCAGGGCCAGGAAGCAAGACAGATGATGACACCTCTGCCCTGAGGTCAGGCAACCCTGGTCCCCGGAGGGTCAGGGAGACTCAGCACTCAAAGGGATGAACACAGAAGCTCTGGCCACAGCAGAAGGACCACAAGGAGCAGGGGAGGCAGGAAGAGGCTGGGACATGCCTGGGTCCAGCTTCACCAAGCCCCAGCCCGCCAATGACAACAGAATAGCATGGGATAGGCCAGAGCGGGCCCAACCGGAGACACGAGGCGAGAGGACTCACCACAGACTTTAGGAGAACACTGGGACCCCCATGGACTCTGCCCCACGGAGGCCAGCCAGGTAAGGCCCTGACCCTGTCCACGCCCACACAGAGCTGAGGCTGGTGGGCAGGTGAGGGGCAGCAGCAAGGTGGGTCAGAGAACCGGCTGTGCACTCACCCTCGGCAGGCTCCATTTTTGCTTCTCTGCTGGGCACATGGTGAACAAGCCATGGGAGGGAGTTAATGGCTTCCCAGCCAAGGAAAATGACCTCGGTCATGACAAATCAGAGGCAGGGGTGGACAAAAGGAGCTCACCTGCCTGGTCAGTGCAGGGCCTTCTCACTGTTTCCACGTGTCCCCATGGGGCCGATCCAGAGGCAGGCGCTAAAGCCACCGTGCTCAGCGCCACATGGGGTAGCTGGACACAGACGTTCCTCCCACCTTGTGGGTACTTCCTAGGTGCTAGGCAATGCGCTAAGTGCTTTTTTAGGAGTGAGCACCAACCCCTGGTACAGTGCACAGATGTGGGGGAGGATGGGTAAGGGCAGGCCAGAGGGGGAGTGAGCCGTGCTGGTGACTCTGTTGGGTCAGTGGGATCACCCGATAGGCAAGCAGCCACCTGTCTCAGGTGCAGGTGGGCGGAGCTCCTGCAGCTCCAAGGCCAAGGCTACCAGACCTGGGCCATCAGCTGAACATGGGTTTCAGACAGTGCATGATTTTCCAGGGTGACCTGAGGGAGAGGGTCCGGAAGCATCGGTGGTCTTTTCTCTGTCGGCCCCACCCCACCTTGTAGTCACTGAGTTACTTAAGCAGCACCCCTCCCCCTTCAGAATCTACATTTCAGCAAGGTTCTGGGCACAGTTTAAGTTGGAAAGGCTGGCTTTAGACCATGACCAGAGACATGGAAGTTTATTCTCATATCCACTTCAAAAGTACCCCAGCTTGAGGAAGCTTTATCCAAAATGCTTGGCATCAGAAGTGTTCTGGATTTTTTGGACTTGGGAATATTTGCATACATGTAATGAGATATCTTGGGGTTGGAAGTCAAAAAAAAAAAAAAAAAAAGAACACCAAGAGCTGTCATTTTGATATATTTCCTCCCAGTCTTTTTTAAAAAGTTGAGGAAAAATTCATCTACCATAACATTTGCCTTTTCCATTTACTTACTTATCTATCTGTATTAAAAGCCACCCTAGGAGGTGTGTGCAGTGTGGTTGTGATATGCACCCCCTCGACTGACAAATGGTATTGAGCATCTTCACTGGAGAAATATGTGGTTTCTTAGATTTATTTATTATTTCTCTGAAAGGCAGGATTACAGGACAGAGGGAGAGAGCAACAGAGGTAAAGAGATCTTCCATCTGCTGGTTCACTCCTCAAATGGTTGCAAGGGCCAGGGCTGGGCCAGGCCAAAGCCAGGAGCCTGGAACTCCATCCGGGTCTCCCATGTGGATGGAGGGGCATCTGCAGCCTTCCCAGGGGCATTAGTAGGGGGCTAGATTGGAAGTGTAGAAGCTGCATCTCAAACCCTCTGGTATAGGATGCAGGTGTTCTAAGCGGCGGCGGAATTCCCTGCACAACAGTGGCACCTGTGTCTATCCAAATCTTCTGCCCAGTTTTTTGTTTTGTTTTGTTTTGTTTGACAGGCAGAGTTAGACAGTGAGAGAGAGACAGAGAGAGAGGTCCTCCTTCCATTGGTTCACCCCCCAGATGGCTGCTACGGGCGGCGCACTGCATCAATCTGAAGCCAGGAGCCAGGTGCTTCTCCTGGGCTCCCATGCAGGTGCAGGGCCCAAGCACTTGGGCCATCCTCCACTGCCCTCCCCAGCCACAGCAGAGAGCTGGACTGGAAGAGAAGCAACTGGGACAGAATCCGGCGCCCCAATGAGGACTAGAACCCGGGGTACCGGCACCACAGGCGGAGGATTAGCCTAGTGAGCTGCAGCACCTGCCCTGCCCAGTTTTTAGTTGATGTTTTATCTTCTTGTCCAGTTGCATGAATTTCTTATGTTTTTCACACTAGATCCCTATCGGATATATGATGCACAAATTATCTTCTCCAGTTCTGTAGGTTGTCCTTTACTTTCTTGAGAATGTCCTTTGATGTGTTCAATTTTGATGAGTTTAAAACTCTTTTTAAAGTTATATTTATTTACTTAAAAAGGCAGAGTTACAGAGAGAGGGGAAGAGACAGAGAGATCTTCCATGCACTGGTCCCCCCGCCCCCACAAATGTCCATGAGCCAGGAGCCTGGAATTCTGTCCCGGTCTCCCGCATGAGTGGCGGGGGCCCAAGCACTGCTGCCTTCCCATGTGCATTAGCAGGAAGCTGGATCTGAAGCAGAGTAGCCAGGATTCAACCAGCCTGATTTGGGTGCTGGCTGTCCATAAGCAGCAGCTTCATCGGCTGTGCTACCACACCGACCCCTACAGCTGAATTTTGCGTGTTGATCTTGTATTCTGTAACTTCGCTGCATTCGTACACTAACTGTCAAAGTTTTTGTGTGGATTCATCGGGATTTTCTATATATAAGATCATGCCATCTGTGAGTATAGTTCTGTTTCTTCCTTTCCACTTTGGATATCCTTTATTTCTTTGTCTTGTGTAAGTGCCCTTGCTGAAATGTCAGGTAGACGTGACAAAGCCAGCTGTCCTCACTCCTGACCTTAGGCGGAAAGTTTTCAGTCTTTCTTGCTGAGTTCTCCCAGATGCTGTCTCCTTCTCCGGTTGAGGACATTCCCTTCTATTCCTACCTTGTTTTTGTTTTGTTTTGTTTTTAATTTGAAAGGCAGGAGGAGATAGAGGTAGAGATAGAGATAGAGATAAACATAGGGAGGGGAGGAGAGGGAGAGAGCTCCCATGTGCTCAAATGCCTGCAACACCTACACACGTAGGGCTGGGCCAGGCTGAAGCCAGGAGCCCGGAACTCAATCCAGGCCTCTGATGGGGATAGCAGAGACTCGAGCACTTGGGCCACCACCTGCTGCCTCCTAGGGTGTGCAGTAGCAGGAAACTGGAATTGAGAACAGAGTGGAGCCTCAGACCTAGACATAGCAATATGGGACGCAGGCAGCAACATAACAACCACTGTGCCGAACACCGGCCCTGTGAGTGTTTCTATCATGAAGGCTGTTGTTTTGTCGGATTATTTTTCTGCATCAGTTGAGATGGTCATGTGGTTATTTTTCTTCATTTTAAGAGCTTGCTCTATCGCACTGGTTGTCATACATGGATCCCTGCTTGCATTCCTGGGATAAATTCCACCACCATAAATTCCAAATATGCCGCTGGATTTGATGTACTAGTGTTTGGTTAAGGATATTTGCGTCTGTGAGGGGTCTTCTAAAAGTTCATGGTAAATGCATACTATGAAAAAAATGCATGAATTTCAAAAATTTTTTGCACCAAACTAAGCTTGTCTTTTAATTCCATTTTTCTTTTTCTCTTTTTTAAAAAAGAAAATAAGCCATCTTTTTTCTTTTTACTTCATTATTCTTTTTATCTATTGAGTGACAAAAGTAGATAGACATATCTTCCATCTGTTAGTTCATTTCCCAAATGCCCACAATACCCAGGGCTGGGCCAGGCTAAAGCCAGGATCCCAGAACTCCCTCCAGGTCTCCCACGGGGGTGGCAGAGACCCAAGTTCTTGAGCCATCACCTTCTGCCTCCCAGACTGCACGTTAACAGGAAGCTGGGAGTGCAGGTAGGACTCGAACCCTGGCACTGGGATATGGGATGCAGGCATCCCAAGGGTAGCTTAACCCACCGCCCCAGAATGCTGCCCCAATTCCGTTTTTTAAAAACTACTGATTTCATCTTGTGTTTGAGGTCTAGTTTGGTTTTCTGTTTCTTCTTGAGTCACTTTTGGAAGTGTGTGCATTTCCAGGATTTATCTAGGTTGTCTAATTTAGGTTGTTTATCTAGTTTGTCTAATTTTTAAAGACTTATTGATCTATTTAATTATAAACCAGAATTACAGAGAAAGATAGGGAATGAAAGAGAGAGAGAGAGATCTTCCGCCCACTGGTTCATTCCCCAGATGGCTACAATTGCCAGGCTGGGCCTGGTTGAAGCCAGGAGCCAGGAGCTTCCTCCAGATCTCCTACACGGATGCAGGGGCTCCAGTACTTGGGCCGACCTCAGGCACAGGCACATTAGCAGGGAGCTGGATCGAAAGTGGAGCAGCCAGGACTCAAACCCGCGCCTAAGTGAGATAGTGGCTGCCTGATTTGTTGACATAACAATTGTATATGATAGTCTCTGCCAATCCTTTTTATATCCGTAAGGCTGTAATATTTTCCCTACTTTCATTCCTAATTGAAGTAATTTGTGTCTTTTATTTCTTGGTTATTCTAACCTAAATTTCTTGGTTTTGTTTGTTTGTTTGTTTTGTTTTGTTTTAAACAGGCAGTGTTAGACAGTGAGAGAGAGACGTAGAGAAAGGTCTTCCTTTTCCATTGGTTCATCCCCCAATGGCTGCTGCGGCCGGCGCGCTGATCCGAAGGCAGGAGCCAGGTGCTTCTCCTGGTCTCCCTTGAGGGTACAGGGCCTAAGGACTTGGGCCATCCTCCACTGCCTTCCTGGGCCACAGCAGAGAGCTGGACTGGAAGAGGAGCAACGAGGACAGAATCTGGGGCCCCAACCGGGACTAGAATCCGGGGTGCCAGCACCACCGGAGGATTAGCCTATTGAGTTGTGGCGCCGGCCCAGGCCAGTGCTTTAACCTGCTGCACCACAGCACTGGCCCCTATTATTTTCATTTTATTTGAAAGTCAGAGGGAGACACACACATACAGACAGTTAGAAGGAGATCTTCTGGGGCTGGCACTGTGGCGTGGCAGGTAAAGCCGCTGCTTGCAGTGTCGGCATCACATGTGGGTGCTCTTGGCTCCTGGCTTCTCTCTCTCTCTCTCTCTCTCTGCCTCTGCCTCTCTGTAATTTTGTGTTTCAAATAAATAAATAAATCTTTAAAAAAAGACTACAGTCTTTAAAAAAGAAAGCACTGGGGCCGGCACTGTGGCGCAGTGGGTTAATGCCCTGGCCTGAAGTGCCGGCATCCCATATGGGCCCTGGTTCT